GTGTACTTATCACAGCTTATGCAATTTCTCGACAAACCTACGAAAATCTACAAGTATAATAACCTACGAAAATCTACAAGTATAATTACTTCCGTATTCTCCTGATCGTCTGCTTTTTTTATTTGTCAAAATAAAACTCAATCTAAAAGGAAGAATATTTAATGATATGAAAAAAAACAAAACGACAAAACAATTTCTAACAATATCGAGAACAGTCTTCCAAAAATATGGTATGCGGAACAATAGAAAATTAACTATATGTGTGTAGGAATATCTAAATAACGTAAAGTCACATTATCCCCGTCAATGAGTTTATTTTATGTAAGAATTACAATCAAAGTCGAGATACTTTTTGAACGTATCTCGACAGAATTGTTATTTATAATCTGTTTTTCAGTTTGCGATAAACAACAATAAACATCTCACAATTGCACCACGTGCAATCTTTATAAAAGCAAACATTGATATACAATTAACTTGAGAAAGATAACGATGGATTTGAGATTATCCAACGAACTTCAACGAGGCTTTTCAATAAAGCACTTTTCTAATTGTTTTCGAGGACGAGCACTCCGCACGACTTCATACGTGTGGTATAGCGAACTTCCGTCGAACAAATGGATGAAACTCTTACCACGAGGTTGAGATTTTAATGCTGCATAAAACTAATTGTTCGATTACATTTACGATTTTTCAGAGAAATAATTCATAAACATTCAGTAAACAATTAAAACCTTTTGCCTTTCCTATATAAATCTAATCAATAAAGTAAGACAAAAAATTTTTTTGCAAAAAGGGGGGTCCTTCAAATTAAATCACACACATAACACTATTCCCTGTATTACTATAATTGAATAAGGAATATATAGTAACGCCTAAATTCGCATGTCAATATCAGAGGACACACGATCGTTGAACTTTCTCAGTACTATTCGCCCTTAGCAATATCTTACCGCTACATCTATGTGTTACACGACATTTCCTCTCGTATACTATTCTGATTTCACTTCAGAAGTTTTATTTTAACCTATAAGAATGGCGACGCCATTCTTGGAAAAAAGTCAAACTTAAAAGTTTGCAATATTGTACACCATGTATACAACCTATACAAGAGAGAGAGATACCTACGCAAGAAAAAGAAATCAATCTAACATTTTTGTCGTATGTAATTGTAGTGCAAAAAAATACAACAAAAATCAATCGTACCATATATTTTTCATATAAGATGGCAAGTTTATCAGCTGTCAGCGTGACTTAATTCAAAATATCTGCATTCACAACATGCATATTAAAGAAAATCGTGCATTCAACTTTTGCGCAATTCTTCCTCAATCTCTACCCAGAAAGAGTAGTTATTTAGTTTATAAACAGTGACAAGAAATCGTTTCTTATCGAAATAGGAACTAAATACGGACTATCCGATAAACCGTTCGTAAGTGGAAGTCGGATTTCTAATTAAAAGCGGATGACCCATGAAAACAGTCGACGGATAGTGTTCATTGGCGTCCTAATGCACATCTGACGTAACTCGTACCTAATCCGCGAGCCGCGTTTAATATTATAAAATGCTTTGTATACGGAAAGTCCGCGATACAATTGCATAAACGCTTTAAACACGAGGAAAATGACATTAGTTAATGTACACTACGTACAGAAACAAGTTGGCACAGGAACTGCAGTGCCAATCTGACGTCAGATGCTCAAATCAAAAAATAGTATTCGATACTTTCCTCGATGAATGTATAAAAGATATTTTGATGTTAACATTTAGTAAGCTTCGAGCATAATTTGATTAATTTATAATATTATATTCGAGTACCAACACGATCTTTTCGTTATAACTGCAAAAATTAATATGCAAAATTTTCAATCCTGCTAAATATTAGCATTTAAAATTATCGTTATGGGCACAGAGTTGCTCGCGATAAAATTATCTTTTGTTTTCTTTCATTTTTTTTGTGTATCGCATAGAGTGGTAGTAACATAATGATCGTTTCGTTATGTGAGTGACAACACGTTTCACGAGACAATTCGATTTGTCTTGCAGACACGCGTCGCCCTCGATAACGATCTCGATTACTCCTGCCCGAGACACAGCTTCGCTCACGCGATTAGAATTGATCCTAATTACACCTCAGTGTAAATCCCGTATTAGAAGACTACGGAGCAGGACGCGCGGCGCGTACTTGGGCTGTTCGGAGATTCGAATACTATTACCGGCGTCAGATCTATTTAATTGTTGCTAATGCCAGTTCTAATGATCCGTTTCCAATCTCTAGTCCAACTGCACACTCAGGTTCCACTAACTCTCACCAGCCCGAATACAAATCGAAAATAGATCAAGCGTAAATTTCTCGTCTCGCGAAGTAGAATTTTGTAAAACATTGATAATTTTCCAACACAAAGATGCGAGAAAATGTGATTTTGTACTGTTTTTTTCTTCTTTAAGTTAACTCTCTTTAAATCAAATATTTAAACTTAATTGCATTTTTTCACGAGAGGCAAGTAAAAAAAGTTAGCAAGAGGGATACATTTAAGAATTTCTTATACTTTAAATCCTTAGAAAGATCTATTTAAGATGCAAAGTAACTCCGTAAAAGCGGACCAATAATAATAATTTGTATCATAAGAGTTTGCATCCGAGTCAAGATATAGGATTTCTGGTCCGATGTAAGTTCCGCCGTTGATGACGGCTTTGTTTAATCGTCACCTAATGTCTCTAATGTTCCGATCTAACCCTTCGTTCGTCCAGGGAAATTGCCTCGCGGTATAGTCCTTCCGAGAGATCTAAGCTATACCGAGCGTAAAGCCCGATCTCTATTGTGAAGTTCTCAGTTGAACCTTGCTTTGACGTCTCTGCGTAGGATCAACTAGATTGTTGAATCAGCGAATTGCCGTTCGATGTTTGCGGAATGTACATCGATCGTACGTTTATAACCACAGATCAATGGGCAGTCGTACAGAAAGGACGTCCAAATCCGATCGGACTCAATCGATTGTAATCGCATCACCAGAATATGTCAATAAGAAAATATATTCATATGTATATTCGGTGAATTATTAATATCGTGGCCTTAATTAGATTATCCGGATATTTACGAGATTGAGCAAGAATCAGGAAAAGCAACAAAAAGATTATGGTTAGACTATAATTTATATTTTTTAGACACACGTGACATAGGAGGTCTGTCCAAAAAGTACACGACCTCTGCGTACATCTTTGTCCTTGAGTATTCTAGTGTAGAAAACAAGAATTTAGGAGGGAACCAATAAGACCTTGAGAAGTATCCCCACCAAGCAAATGACTTAACAGCTGTTTAGTCGACAACGGTACACAGTTAAGTGAGCGTCGCATTTTACCTGCGCATTCATCACCTGATTTAGAATTTTTTCAACTTAGAAAATAACCAGAAGTCACGAAACTATATGTAGTACTTGTAAGGGGATTGTAGAAGTTGGACAATGCTATGTTTAAAGTCCTAGTAAAAAATCCTGAATCAGATGAGATGAATAAACAGATGAAGTGTGACGCTTGAAATTTTCGACGGTCGCACACAACCGCATATCGTTGCCGACTGAATAGCTGTTGGATCGTGCCATTTGGTGGAGTATTCCTTCAAGGGCCTGTCTAAATACAAGAGAGGGGGGAGGGGGGGGAGGGAGCGAGAGAGGGAGAGGGGAGAGAGATGGAGAGGGGGTGAGAGGGGGAGAGGGGAATACCCAAAGATATTTTTTATTACTTTACTTACATATGTTGTTATGACTCTGAATGACCTCCTACAAGTTTTAGCCAACGCTCGTTATTCGTTAAAAAGTTATTTAAAAAAAAATTTAATTTAATAAACTAACGTTTCATTTTTACTATATATGCAATATTTAAAAATACTGCATCTCTTATGTCTACTGTCTAGAAGCGTCCGACTTTCCACGCGAAGCGAGATCCATCTCACCTTCCCCACCTACCAAGGGACGTTCGCCGTTCGACTTCCAACAAGATCCCGCATGAAAAGTCCGCGTCCCTAGGAAAGGAAGAGGTATAGTAGAACTCGCTTCGCGTGGAAAGTCGTGCGCTCCTTAACAGAAAGGCGGAGGTGGGGGGGGGGGAAAAAAAAGGGGGGGGGGAGGGAAGGCGAAACTCACTTCGCGTGTAAAATGAATCGTTATTTCTTAACCTCGTTTATTAATAACTTTTTAACGAATAACGAACGCCGATTAAAATTTATTGAAGGTCATGACCTTAACAACATATGTCAAGGTTAGATTATCGGAGTTGACAATGTGAGTCCCCTATAGTATACAATTACCAATATCCTTGTTGATCAAAATATACATCTCTCTTTATAGATGGAGATTTCCTTATAGAGAGTATGGAACTTTTCACATCCAGAGTTCATATGGGTGTTGAATTCGGTGTATTGAGAAAAAATGTTGATAAAAAAAAAAATTTTTTAATTTTGAGTGATTTGACAGAAAACAGTACTTTGACTAGAGTGTGTATATGTAGAAATATATTTCGTACACAACAAAAAAGATAAAATATTTGTGTTATTTAAAAATCACTCCCTCCCTCCATTTGGAAGGTATTCTATCATCTAGAAAAGTCAAAAATCTCCGCCTTTGTCTCTCTCTCTCTCTATTTTGTGTAATCACAATTATAAAAAGGATTCAATTGCATAGGGAATTTCAAGTATATAATTTAGAAAGAAACTTGTACCGGCACAGATCGTAGCAACTTTTAGCCAGTGCTATTGGATTAAAACGAAAAAGATTGCTCGCTAGCAGGTTAGCTAACATATCCGACACGCAAGGCTCACTCTACTTAATACAACTTGATCCTTTTTAATTAAATGCCCTCCCGATCATCTTGTCTCCTACCAGAAACACTCTTTTAGATTTTCTTCTTTACTACTTAGTAAACCTTCTATTGCTCGCGATAATTGAAACACAAGATATGAGAAAAGACATTCAATGTTTTGGCAAAATTAAGGATAATCACATACCTTAACCAATGCCTTTTTGTAAGAGCCGTGTGACAGCAGATAGCATCATATTGATCGGCAAGCCACACTATCAAGATTATGTAAAACGCAGTGGTTGTGTCGTTGAAAAATTCAGACATAAGTGCCTCCATTCCTAAAAAAAAAAAACAAACAGGAATATTTAAGAGTAATGACAATTAAAAAAAGCTGTCGCTGTTATTCGATGTTTTGCATCAAATATAAAATTTTTTAAAATAATGTACTTATAAATTACAATAATATAACACTGATATAATACTTGAAATTAAATAATGTCAAAAGAACAATCGATTCTAACGTAATCGAACGGATACGAACATGTCCTATATTAAGGACAGTTTTCCGCGATCGATTAAAACTCCGACAGTGAGCAAGATTCGTTTTTTGTAAATTTATCGTTAATGCATAACCGTTAAGTTGTAAAATCGATGTATCATATCGATCTATATCTTTACGATCTATCTCTTTACAAATGTTAAACATTCAATCTTACTTAACAAGTGAAAGATTACTAGGAATTAAAATGTCTGTAAAAAAAAAACAATGAGAATAAAAAAGTACAATATTATATTTGTCAATGTATTTTTTTTTCTTAATGATCTAATGGATAATGGAATAGTAACGATACATTCACAGAAAAAAGTGTTTTTATGTCATTTGAAAAGAAAACACTTAATATAAAGCACAAAATAATTGCGAGAAAGAAAAAAAAAGCATTCGTTCTTATGTGCGATTACGATTCCTTCATTTTCATTGAAATACATGGCCGAGTATTTATAAATCCAATCGAATTCCATTTAGTCGATTTTCGAAAAATATTTCTATAAGTCGGAAGAAAGTAGACGTGAGCATATATTACGTGGGAGATCGTCGTGGCAGTGGTAGATGAAGGTGCCACAGACGCGCGACCAGCAAAGATGAATGGTCTTGAGACCAAGAGCGCGACGTTAGATAATTAGTTTCTCTATCGGACACAACGCGACGTGGAAAGAAAACAACACCGCGGGAATGCTAACAAGCGGGACTCACGTCGCTCGTATCCGGGACGTAATACGGCCAAGATACAGAAGCAGAAGTACAAATCGACGAAGAGACGTGGTCTGACAGCGCTCACGGGGGTAGCTCGACAAAGTGAGAAATTACTTCTTAAGAGAGCAGGGCGGCCGATTGTCTCACGAAGAAAAGGAAATCACTTATGCCGCTATTGTAACAAAAAAGTAATATTTGCATTGGGATTTTTTCCAAATATACAAATGCTACCTATAAATTATCCTGTTTATTTTCATCTATAGATCCTTTGATAAATCTGGAATCAATTTCTCCTGTCAAAAATTGACCGAAAACGATCGCTCATCGTGATGTTATTTTTTTTTTATTCGCAATGTCAAGTACCACAAGTGTGAGAAGGCCATAAATGAAATTTCTGGTGACTCTTGACTTAACTCGAATCAATACTCGTTTAGAAAGTTCTTTGGTATTCGCGGATCCGGTATATTTTAAATTAAACTATCTTTATTTAAAGTTAACATAATTACCTGACTTTTTTTTCAATTTGAAGATCAAAATCTAAGGAATAAGATTATGTAACTTAAAATTATGTGACTTATAATTATATAAAGTTGTAACAAAATATTTGTTAAAAATATTTTCAAACGTAGTTGAAGAAAATGTTCGAATCCATGGAATTCATGAATACCGATTAATTAAATACTGAAAGTATTTCTGAGAAAATTCTGCAATTTTATTTTTCCTTCATATAAAAAAATAAATAAAGAATTAAAAATAGTAATTCCAACGCAGTAATCTTTTTCGCCTATTTCTCATGTTTCTAAATATTTAGGTTTCTAAATATACCGTAATAAATATTATATCTTAAATTGCTTGTAAAAAAGCTATAGAAAAGACGTAATTGCCTCGACTTTTTCCATGTTGTTCCAAGTTAAGGATTAAAACAACTTGGGATCTAATGTGACTTCGTTAACAGAATGCGCATGAATCAGTTACATATTGGTCTGTGCCGAAAGGATCGTTAACATCGAATAATGCGCGGATAATGCACTCGTTTAAATGCATACTAGTCGAGCATTATCTCACCGTGTAGGTAAGCCTTTAACACGGTTTCCTACCGGAGAACCATCTAACTCCCGATCATATCCCCATTCTCTTTCCTCCTCAATTTTTATAAAACGCTCAAATTCCAGATACGACAAACAGTAACTATGATAATCTACGTCCAATAATTTTTCGAGATTGAAATTGCACTGGTAATAATTTTACCGTTACAATTTACAATATATTTAGTATTTTTCTTACGGTGAAACAGCTGCTAATTCAGCTGCAACCACCGCATTCAAGCTTAGCAGCTTAGAAATGAAAAACATGAAATATTATATATGATACAACCGATCCGGAATCGGACATTACCGAATGAACGATTGTGCAAAATACCGTGATCGAAATTGACGGAACGGCAATGGTGCCCAATTGCCGACTGACAGAAGGTTCACGAGTCATAACTAATTCGAAGCCGTGACTACGCGCACGGTTGTCGCACAGACTCTCGCGTAATTGCGCGTATGCTTCACGCCGTCCACGGCTCGCCGACGCCCAATGTCGGTGTCGGCTGATCGAGCGTAAATTTAGGCCTTGTAAACAGGCGATGATTTTAAATTAGTGCCCTTGTTAATTTGGTTAGATATTTCGTATACGATAATATTGATGGAAATATCAAATGCTCCAAATATAATATTATACAAATGCAATACATCTTTATTTCGTCTCTATCGTCATAAATATATCAAAAGTTCATAGATAATAGTTAAGTAATTGCACAATTTCGATAATATGTAAATTGACTACAACGATTACGACTTTTACCACGTATCTCCATGTATTTAATGTAAATAAGATAAATATTATAGGTTAATACCTAATTTCATTAAAGGTAACGAGAGCATTGGCAATTTTAGAAATAAAATCGCGTTGCGTTATAAGGTTTCTAAGAAGGAAATTAAATATTGAAATATTATAATTGCATAAATATTACATACAATATAAGAACACATAGCGCGCTGTTGCTCCAAGTTCATCCATTAGCTGCGATTGACGCATTATCGCGCGAAGAACGATGCGATTCGTGTGTATTGCGTAAATTCATATCTGACGCAATGCAAAATAATACTAGAATGTGCGTCGTACGTATTTTTTGAAGAGGCGGTAGCTAATAATGTTGTTAATCAATGGTCAACTGTATACGGCCATCGCTCACGTGTCACCGGGGTATCGAGTCGAGCTTGGTCGGTAATACCAATATTGCACATAACTCGGTTGAATCTACTCCCTCCCTTTTTCTCTCTTCTCGTCTAATAGACATAATATTTTCCGCTAACCGACCTGTGCGAACACGGTTGAGTTTGATCGAACGCGAGATTCGACGTACTCGATCGAATGCGAATAGATAAAAGTGTCTGCAGTTTCATAGATCCTTATGGAACTCTTTTGCCGAAGACTGCTCTGCAATAATATCAAACATGTTTCACTTACTCACCAATCACTTGTTTTTTTCATATTAATTATCATATCCCATACGAAAACTAATCTCAGATAAATTCAGAAGTACATACACATACCTAAAAGAAACCTATTATTACAATTTGTCAAACGAATGTGATTAACCCGATCTCGAAGACAAAACCCGTAAATTTCTTTGAAATTAGTTTACAAAGCTAGTTGCGGATCGGTTACTACTAAAGATCTATATAATTGTTAGCTACTCTATTCTTGTAAACTATACGGGTAGTCCTATCTTCGTTGGAGACACGTTCGCGTCTTGTATAATGCTCGACTGTATAAACTCGCAGATCTCCTTTCGCGAAGTGACTGTTGACGAGATAATTAGGAGCGAAATCGTACTCGTCAAAGCATGGAAGATTTAATCAAGGACCAATCAGGATCTCGCATTAACCGTCGTATGTCAGAAGCAGAACGGTATCATAGAGTAGCGAATCCCGGGCAAATTATCCGTTGCTATACCAGGATCTTCGCTGCTGCAGACGCTATATTGTGCTTTGGCAGCAGAAGCGGCTTTAGAGTTGGCGAAGCAGGGGGTCATAGACTGTAGTTTAATCTGCTCTAGCGCCATGATCTAGCCATTCCATTGCATATACGTCGGCACCTCGCATATGCGAAACCGTAATCGCGATAATTTGCCTAATCGTAGTATTACAAGAGCGAGTTATACTTATTTGATATCACGATATTGTGAAAATGCACAACTTTATAAAAAGCTCACTTGATATGTCATCGGATAGAATGCAAGATGCATGAAGATAATCCGATTACAATCATTTTTTATTACAATACATCTTGATTAATCCAACGCCTAAGTATTTTGGAATTTTGCGATTCCTTTCTCAACAATGACAATGTCAAGCTATTAAATGCTATTTATTCCCTTTAATCTACACCAAGGCCGAGACGCTCGCGCTCACGCGCCTGTGCAAAATATGCTAATACGTATACGGTAGCGTCGCATCAACGTTATAAGCAGATAAACGGAATGGTGCGGGTACAACGTGTTCTGACCGTCTCTGAAAATGTGTTTACAGCATGTTAGGCGGCCGATCATGCGTCACTGATGCACAGAGGCGCCGGTGTGCCTTCGTTCTTTGACGTTCCATTATGCAAAATCGTCTTCCACGTCGTACCTGATGCCAAATGCCGAACGACGCGTGGACGATTTGACGGGAATTCACGCTGATGATGCCACAGGCACCAGCCAGACAAAATATTGCCCATCAACGACGTAAACGCAAGGATAAAAATTGAAAAAGAACATGCCGAGCAGCCGAATAGCAAATAGCGTTGAGAAAAACGTTACGCAAGACACCAAAATATAACGTGTAAACGCTAACGTAAACGATAAGGTATACATTTCGAGATTATTTAGAAAATTGCAAAAATACAAAGATGTCAAAGATGACAAAGTTGTTTGCAAAAGTTGTTTGCAACAGGACTTTTTCTAACGAATTATATTATTACAAAGACATTGCATGAACATTCCCCTAGAATTTTATTTTTATTCAAAGAAATACTACACAGCATTGTGATTTCCACGCTTCTTATTATCGTACAAATTGAAAAAATTAAAGGATACAGAAATACTAAAATATTAGAAAGGGAAAGAGTAACGGCATATTCTTTTTGACCGGAAAAAGTAACATGTGATGAAGACGCGAGAGAAAGCTGAGAGAGCCACTGCCTGGGATGACGGATGGAGAGAGCAGAAAACGACACAGGAACTGGAACCTATTATTCCAGATAACAACTTCTCTTTAAAGCTTCTTTTCCTTTTCTCTATTTCCAATTATGTTGACTCATGTGCGCGCGCGCGGTGTGTGTGTGAGTGTGGTGTGTGTATATATAATATTTTAATTTTTGTACATCTCTTGGTAATCCCCGCAACGGGGGAGGGATGCGGAAATTTACCACTTCCGTTGCTACGTTTCGTTCAGCTGCTTGCTAACTGCGCAACTGGTGGTATAGATATGTATATGTATAGATAAATGGATACTCTACTAGAATGTATATAAGTCATTTTTGTGAAATTCGATAAATAAGTTGCAATCTTATTTTTTATTTGATTAAAATTAATGATTAGCTATTATAGCATAATTCATAAATAAGATGAAGGAAAATATATATCACAAATATTGTGTGTGTGTGTGTGTGTGTGTGTGTGTGTGTGTGTTTTGCTGCAAGCACACAAGTAGAGAAATATATATATTATAATTGAATTATATTCTGTACTTGTAAGTGGGGGTTGTAAGTGAGTTGTGCTCAAGACAAATAGAAATAGGAAAGCTAAGATTTAGATGGTAAGGTAAAACAGTATCTAATGTTTCAATAAATATATTATATGAATAGCGTGAAAATTTGTGAGAAAACGGATTTGAAACTCATTAACAAATTGAAAGAGGTACTTTTCGAGAGAAATAATTTATTGCGTACAAAAGTCTCGCAATGCAAGAAGAGGAAACAAAGATCGTAAATTCAAACTCTATCAATGTTTTCAGAGCCGTCGGATAGATGAGAGGATCAGAAACGTCGTATTTTATGCAGGTCAATTGGACCATTGGTGCCAGTGGACACGCGAAGCGTGAAGAGAAGATATTCAGGTCGAAATGGAAATGGGTGTCGCGCAACGCCGCCGCCACTGCTGTTAAATGGGCTCTGAGCGGGTTACCCAACTGTTGCGCCTTCATCAGAAATTTATGCAGAATCCTGGGTTAACCGTCCCGGCCAATCAGCTTTGTAACCGAGCTAACGTCCTACCGGCGAGAATTCGAGAGAGCAAGAGTAGTCGTGATTTAGTAAAAAGGTATTTAATATTTCACTCGCACGTAGCGACCAAACTCCAACGTACTTGAGGATTCACGGCCGATTGATTATTTCCAAAATGAATCATCTTTCATTGAACACTTCCAAAAAATTGAAATGCAAAGAATAATAACGAAAAAAATCCAAAAAATGTTTGAATTTAAATGTAAAGTCCAATGAATGTGCAAATGCTATACAACTTTTATATTTAATTAACTTAAATATTTTATTTTTTATGAAACATTTTCCAAGAAAACATGACAAACATAAGAATAAAATATATCAACACAAATAATTAAAAAGGTAAGGTACTTAAAGTATATAAAACTTACCTACTAATGCCAAGACTACTGTCAATAGGGAAGCAGCTGGCAATGACACAGTTAAGTTAAACTCCAGCATTTGTATAAGATCAACTGAAACAAATGATAGAAATGCGAGTTTTAGTGTTAAACTTACATAAGCATGTACAAGATAAAATATTTTCTATTATTGTATATTTTCTAATCTCCATATTCGATTATTTCTTCAAGAAACATATAGCGAAACAATTTTCCATATGTGTGAAATTAAAAAAAAATAGAACATTATATATGTATATGTATATGTATATATATATATATATATATATATA